ATTCATGGACCTACCTTTAGACTTAGAATGAAAGGGAGTTGCCACCAATTTTTTTTTGTTAGGTATGCTTGGCCATTTAAGTGAAGTTGATATACAAAACAGAGGTTAGGTTCGAAAGTCGATTGCGCATGAGAAAGGTTGTAGCACCCCTAAAACGTCCATCTGAGAGATGGTACCAATTTGATTTCGAATTATCTAAGCCTTATCATTTTTAATATTTTACCAAATAATTTATAATTTTATTAGAATAGTAGAACCTTTCAAAATCTATTTTTTGGTTTTTTTTATTATTTACAAAGATTTTTCTTTTCTTTTTTTTTATAAAAAATATATTTTTCAAAAATATTAGAAGCAGAAATAATAATTTTTTTCTTTTTTTAAAAAAATTATTATTTTTTATTTTAAAAAAATTATTATTATTTATTTAAAAAAAATAAAAAACAAAAAAATGGTTAGAAATAAAACCAAAATAAAAGAAAATGAAAATGAAAAAAAGAAAACCTACGATTAGGTCGGGTCAGGATACGGGTTAGTGCGCGAGTTTTCGAGTCGACGCGCAGATCCTAGCTTACTAAAACGATGTCATTCTAGAGCAGTATAAATGGTACCTTTCAACATTTTTTAAAAAAACCCCAAAGCCTCTCTTTCTTTACCTCCAAAATCCTTTTACCTCTCTCTAGAAACCCATTAGAAAGTTCAACCGAAAACTAGAAATCCCATCGATTTTTGAAAATCTCATCAAAAAATTTAACCGAAAATTGAAAAAACCATCGGTTTCTAGAAAACCTACCGGATTCTGAAAACTTCACTGGAATCTCGTCGAAAACTTCAACTTTCACTGAAAAATTCAGTGAAAAATTTTAATGTTATTAAGAAAAAACCTAAAAAAATCTAAAAAATCCAAAAAAATTCCCAGATAGTTCTAGCCCTTCCTAAACCTCTTACAACCTCAAATCCACCTTCAGAGACCTAAAATCACACCTAGAACTACAAATTAAAACCGAAATCCCTATCCTCGAACCCCAAAAACCCTTACTGCCAAAATTTTTCCAAAGCTTCCCCAATAATTTTCTTTTCATTTTCTCCTTTTCTTTGTGTCTTTTTTAGTATCAGAATCAATCTGATTTATAGGCAGTCTTAAAAGTAATTTTAGGAATCGGACAGAATTAATCCTAAGCTTGAATTTGGGGATTGCATTCTATCCAACATGATTTTTAGTCCAAAATTTTAGTAATCTCTTGCTAGTATGATTTGGCATTGAAAGTTTAACTTAACAGGATTCTGATTCTGATTTTATCACGTGTGAATTAGAACAAAAAAGGAAAGAAGAAAAGAAATAAAATAAAATAAAAAAAGGAAAAAAAAAATAATAAATAGATCTAATTAGACCTGAATAGGCTAGAAGAAGCCTAGATGAAAATGAGCCTAATTGGGCTCGAGTTGGAATGGGTCTAATTAGGTGTGGACCAAAATGGGCCTAATTGGGCCCAGACCAAAATGGGTGTCTACAAGAACACATAAAAAAAATGAAAATGAAAATCTATTTGGATAGTTACATGCACATCATCATTAAGATTTCTAATTCAAAGGCTACCAAAAGTATGAGAAGATGTGCATGTACTTGATAAAACACTATGGATTTAATAAAAGTTGATAAATCATATCCTTCTATTGATAAATCATTAAGATTTTTAATTCAAAGGCTACCAAGTATACGCTTTGAAAGATAATTCATTATAACATAAATTTGACATAAAATTTCACTTCTAAGTACACGCATGCAAAACAAATAAAAAGTATTAGGGGTTCAATGTAAAAATAATAAAGCTCATGACTCTCTAAATGTGTTTATTTTTTTATTTAGATTTCATTCTCAAAATAATTTTTTGTTAGAACAACACATTCATTTAGTTAATGAAAATAATTCCTGTAATTTTTTCCTTATCTTGATCCCTTTTAATTCAAGCTTTTACTGATGTCATACATTTTAGAGAGTACAAACATAAGCAAGAGACAAAGTAAAAAAATATCTATTATTTATTCAATTTAATATATTAAAACTAAAATATTCTTTATTTATTTCTATGTAATATTAGGTTTTCACACAATAAATCGAATATTAAATGTTTTTATCTTTTTTAGTATAAATTAGTTTAAATAAAAATAAATTAATATTAAAAGTCATCATATTATTTTAAAAGTTTGCAAGTATTAATTGTCTTTTGAATAAATTAATATAAAAATAGAATATGAAGAGTTAGCATATTTATTTATATATATAATTAGATTTCAAACAATAAATATGTTAATTAATGATGCATATATATATTTATTACATATTAAGTTGTTAGGTACACAAGGTTATAATATAATAGGATAATATAGGATAAGATAGGATAAGATAATATTATGAATAATATTCAATTAAATAATATTAAATTAAATAATATCATTTTATCTTGTATTTAATGTGTGCAAAAATTAGGATACGATAATTTTATTTATTGGTCAGGATTTTTCTTCTTCAAAGTTTATACACTTTAAATTTTAATATAATTTGTGGGGGTATAATAAAACATGCAACTTTGATCTTATGAATTAAAAATAATTATTTCATTTAGGGAGGATTGATGATGATTAATCTTCCTTACAATTCCATCCCTCTCTTTAGCTACAAACCAAATATAATATAAGATGATAATCATCTTATCTTATTCATCATCTTCTATATCAAACATGGCTTTAATTCATTATTTATTTGAAATAAAAAATAAAAAATGAAATGTTAGAATATTAAAATTTTATGTTTTCTTATTTTAGTTATTAATGATTTTAAAATAAAAAAGAGAAAAAATATAAATTAACTTTTCAAACATTTATTATTTTTTACCACCAAAGCAAATTAAAATAATAGGAAAAGGAAAATTTATAAATATTATCATATTAATTTCAATCTTTTCATAATTAATTTAATTTTAAAAAACTTTTCATATTCTATGAATAGTTGCAATTAAGAAAATGACATAGATACGAAAAATCACATAAAATATTATATTAATTTCAATAAAATATTCAAATTACACAATTGTAAAATTAAATTTTTTTATAACTTCATAGATGATAAATATTTTTATAAACCAACTATTAGATTTAACAACCTATTTGTATCTATCATTCTTGTAAAGTTTCAAATCAATTCAATATTCTTATCATTTCAATCAAGAGTAGTATCTTTTTTAATATATACTAATTATTAAAATTTTATTATTATCACACAAATAGATTAACAAATATTTTAAATTTACTTGAAATTTGATAATGCATGATTGACTTAAACAAAGTATAAAATCCAATAATTGAATTAACAAATATAAATTGTATAAAAAGATACAAGACGATTTAAAACTACTTTAGTGTTACATATGTCTAAGTAGATCCCTCTTCATTTCGAATTTTCATATTTCTTTATTTAATGATTTAAAAATAAATCTTTAAAAAAAAAAAGAAATATAAATTATCCTTATTTAAAAAAGTTTTCATATTCTACTAATCACTTAAATTTAATTAATAGTCAAAAGACAAAAAATTACAAATCATTAGTGTATTAATTTCAATTTATACATATTCCATGAATTAATAATTTGAAAATAAATCTTAAAAAATAAATAATATAAATAAAATTTATTGATTTTTGTCTTTTATTTTTTTTTACATGTTTCATGATTTCATTTGTCTTTAATAATAATAATAAATTTTTTTTCTTCAATATGGTTGTTATTTTAATTATTTAGTTTATTTCTTTATTTCTTTTAATTTGGTTTCTTTTTTATTTTTAAAAAACTAATTGTGCGCAAGGTAAAAAAACCTAGTCATTCATAAATTTATCTATTTATAAATTTATAGTATCCATGAACCTAATAAATCATGGATAAATGTGCTTAGTTATTTGTATAATTTACGTTAATTTAACATATTTATTGAATACCATAAATACCCATAAAGCATATTTAGATTGTAATATTTTAGTTTCGTTTTTTTTTTTTCATATTTGAATATGTTGTAAAAGTATAAATTCTTGGTTTGTATCATTAGAAATTATATTTTAATTTTTAATTTTCTTCTCAATTGAGTTTAGATTAAAAGAATTTATTGATTTGTTTATATGAAATATTATTTTATAAATATTTATTATTTATTCATACCAAATAAAATTATGAACCTAACCAAACCGGGTAAATTCTTATAATATATCTAATGTCATTCCCATAGTCTTTTGCTGTATTATTCGAATCTTACAGTCTTTTTTTTTTTTTTTTGGTCTATTGTCAGTATTTGCTTGAGTTCTATGCCCGATTGAAAACAATAGAATTGAAAAGAGCAACTTGACTTTGCTTTTTGGATTAGATGGTAGAAATTGCTGATATGTCCCGAAGTCAACCACAATCATTCTAAGCTACAAGTTGTCAATACAGGAAAACGGCAATTGAAAACGGATCGACTCAGAAGATTTTTTTTTTTTTTGTTTTGTCATTTTTTTTCTAAATTTTAATTGGACAATAAGTCAAACATTTCTCCTGTCTTTTACTCTCCTTTACATCTTTGGTTTTTTTTTTTTCTTCTTTTTGTGGTTAAATCCATGTGTTGGGTCATTGCCTCATTGGACAACTGAAATTCGTGATTTTTTCTACATTTTAAAATTGGAAGTAGGAATCCCATGATATTAGAAGAAAGATAATGGAGAGTTGCTATAATTCAATCCCAATATATATATATATATATATATATATTTAGTTGTACCAATGACCAAACTAAAGTCGTGTTTGACTGGTGGAATTAATGGACTTTCACTGAAAGAGATTTGTAAAGTTAAGTGGACGTTCTAATTAACTTTGTTGGTAAAGTTATATTTTGTGGGCCTTTAAATGTAAATAAAAATAAACAGAGTGAATGGGTTTGGACAAGTTCGGATTCATTGTTTCCTTCCGTTTGTTTCTTCAATGCTCTTTGAAAATTCTCTCCACTATATGTCCCATTACAATTTTGATGACTATGATATAGAAGAAGTTAATAACACGTCTTTTTCCCATCTATAATTCATGAATTTTCCTCTTACAAATTTCACTTCTACACAACTTCATGGGAAACAGTAGTAGGTTTATTCTTGCTCTTATGGTGGTGATGCTGTTGCAGAATTCTGTGTTTTCCTTGTCAACGAAATCAACAACAACCACCATCAGCACCGACCGGCTGGCTCTTCTTTCGCTAAAAGCCCATGTCAACAGTGATCTCCTCGCAACCAATTGGTCTTCTGCTACCTCTGTTTGCAATTGGATTGGTGTATCTTGCGGATTCCGACACCAAAGAGTCACTGCTCTGAATCTTTTTGCCATGAATCTGTCTGGCACCTTACCACCCCACCTTGGAAATCTGTCTTTCCTAGCTTGGCTCAACATCGGAAACAACAGTTTTCATGGTTCATTACCCATCGAATTGGCAAATTTGCGTAGGTTGAAATCGATAAGCTTCTCTAACAACAATTTCAATGGAGAAATCCCATCATGGTTTGATTCCTTCACTAAACTTCAGTACTTGTCTCTGGATGGTAACAACTTCACATGTGTTATCCCATCTTCTTTGTGCTCTTTGTCAAAACTAGAGAGTTTGGTCTTGTCTGAAAATAATCTGGAAGGTCAGATTCCTGTGTCTATTGGAAATCTTTCAAGCGTGAAAAGTTTATATTTGAACAACAATCAACTTTCAGGCTCCATACCTTCCTCAATTTTCAACATATCTTCATTGCTAGAACTTAATCTCATCAGCAACCGGATTTTTGGTTCCATTCCACTCAATATTTCTTCCCTGAAAAGAATTGGTTTTACATTTAATAATCTCAGTGGTCATCTCCCGTCTGATATGTTTGATCATCACAAGGGCTTTATTTGACTAAGAACCAACTTTCTGGTAGAATTCCAATCAGTTTATTCAAGTGCAAAGAGTTGGAAATTTTATCCTTATCTTTCAATCATTTTGAAGGGACTATACCTCGAGAAATTGAAAATTTGACTATGCTTAATATTTTGTATCTCGGCGACAACCAGCTCCAAGGTAAAAGGAAAGGCATTTTTAGCTTTTTTTTTTTACTCCTTTTGTTTATAAATCATTCAACGAAAAATTATACTTTGATTTACTTACCTATGTTATTTTTATTTCCAACCTTTTTTCTAATATATAAATTAGCCGCAAAGTGCAAGATAAACAGTATATTACTTTGCATTGTCTAAATTCTGAACTCTGTTTGATTGTTCTCTGCCTGACAAAGAAGCGGGCTTATTAGTGTACCCAGAAAAAAGAGACATGCCTTATTGGGTTGTATTTTGATGTTAATGGGGCTTATAATTTGTTGCTAACTTAAGGATTTTCATGCAGGTGAAATTCCACAGCAGATTGGTAATCTAACACACTTGAAAATGCTCGATCTTTCCACCAATAAATTGACTGGTAATATATTTCATTCTTCTTATGTAGATTTTTTTATTTATTTATTTGAAGAAGTGGATTTGAATCCCACCATTTTAATTAAAAATCATGCACCAATCACTGAACAAAACGTTTGGATGTATATTGAGTTTCTTTATACCTATAAATGATGGAAATAATTGAACAATATTATTATGAATTTATGTTTGATTCTGTTATTTACTTGTGGATCAATGAGAAATAATCCAAATGATTCTTTGATTTTTGGGCAGGTAAAATACCAGTTGAGATAAGCAACCTACCAGAATTGGAAATTTTGCATTTGGGATCTAACAATATCTCAGGACATATCCCTCCTGGTATCTTTAATAGTTCAATTCTGAGGGTCATTGCACTTTATGCAAACCATCTCTCGGGTTCTCTTCCATCCAGCACAGGACTTTGGCTTCCAAATTTTGAAGTGCTTGAACTTGATATAAATGAGTTCAATGGAAAAATACCTGCCTCCATCTCCAATGCCTCAAAGCTTACAATGCTTGACTTGTCAAATAATTCGTTTTCTGGATATATTCCCATTGACCTCGGCAGTCTAAGAAATCTCCAAGTGCTCAACTTACAGTCTAATAATTTAGCGAGCACACCTTCATCCCCTGAAATCAGCTTTCTCTCATCTTTGGCCAATTGCAAAGACTTGAGACTCTTGTATTTTGATAATAATCCATTGATCCATAGCAAACTTCCAATCTCTATAGGAAATCTCTCCATTTCTCTTCAACAATTCGGTGCTCTTGGTTGCAACATCGTGGGTAAAATTCCAGGAGAGATTGGCAACCTAAGCAACTTGATAAGCTTGGACATATCTAACAATGAACTGATTGGATCTATTCCCACCACGACCGGAAGAATAAGAAACTTGCAGAGTCTTTCTCTTCAAGGAAACAAGTTAGAAGGGTCCATCCCCTCTGAGTTATGCCATTTGAAGAGTTTGGGTTTCTTGTATCTCACAGGTAACAGATTGGCTGGACCAATACCAGCATGCTTGGGTGATCTAGTTTCTCTTAGACATCTATTTTTGGGTTCCAATAAATTTTCCAGTTCAATACCCTCAACCTTGACAAGGATTATAGATATCTTACAACTAAACTTGTCTTCCAATTTTCTCACCGGGGCTCTCCCCATTGATATTGCAAAGTGGAAGGTTGTTACTAGTATTGATTTTTCCGAAAATCAATTGTCAAGTGAAATCCCAAGTAGCATTGGTGATCTTGAAGATTTAACTTATCTTTCATTATCCGGTAATAAATTGCAAGGGTCTATACCAGAGTTATTTGGTGGACTGTTAGGATTGGAATTCTTGGATCTCTCAAGGAATGATTTCTCTGGAATTATTCCCAAGTCTTTGGAAAATCTTCTGCATCTTGAATATTTCAATGTCTCCTTCAATAGACTATATGGAGAGGTTCCTAACAAAGGACCCTTTACCAACTACACGATTCAATCGTTTATGGGGAATGAAGATTTATGTGGTGCACCTCGGCTGCAACTCCCACCATGCAAAACTAATTCTACCGAAGGTTCTAAGAAAGCTACCAAGCTTTTAGAATATATTCTCTTGCCGATTGGCTCAACACTCTTAATACTAGCCTTAGTTTTCTTTTTTTCAAGGAGCCGAAAGAGGAATGCAAAGCTTCCAACTAATCTAGAAAATTCAGATGCTTTAGCAAAATGGAGAAGAATTTCATACCAAGAGCTTCATCAGGCCACAAATGGATTTTGCGAAAGCAGATTACTTGGTGTGGGGAGTTTTGGATCGGTATACCAAGGTACTCTTTCAGATGGACTCACCATTGCCATAGAAGTTTTTAATTTGGAGTTAGAAGGATCATTTAAGAGCTTTGATGTGGAGTCCGAGGTCTTGCGCAACATTCGCCACCGGAACTTAGTCAAAATCATCAGTAGTTGCTGTAACGTTGATTTTAAAGCCTCGGCACTTGAGTTCATGCCTAATGGAAGCCTCGACAAGTGGTTGTATTCTCATAACTATTTTCTTGATATCTTGCATAGGTTGAACATAATGATTGACGTTGCATTTGCACTAGAATACCTCCACCATGGTCAGACAATTCCTATAGCCCATTGCGATTTAAAACCCAGCAATGTTCTGTTAGATGAAGATATGGTTGCACATTTAGGTGATTTTGGCATTGAAAAGCTGTTAGGAGAAGAGGATTCAACAGTGCAAACCATAACACTAGCAACAATTGGATATATGGCACCAGGTAATGATTAAATTTTAAATTTTATAATCCATTTTGATGATTCATGTAACATTGTTGTATACTTTGATGATGTTTTTAATTGACTTCACATATAGAATATGGAGCAGATGGAATTGTTTCCATAAAAAGTGACGTGTACAGTTTTGGCATTCTTTTAATTGAAACATTCACAAGAAAGAAACCCACAGATGAAATGTTCGTCGGAGAAATGAGCTTAAAACATTGGGTGAATGAGTCATTACCATCAGCAGTAACTCAAGTTTTAGATGCCAACTTGCTTAGTAGCGGAGAGCCTGATCATCTGGCGACAAAGGATTGTGCATTGTCTGTTTTGAAATTAGCCTTAGAATGTTCCAAAGGTATACCAGAGGAGAGGATTGACATGAAACAAGTTGTTGCTCAGCTAAAAAAGATGAAAATCAAGTATTTGAAGGATTCAAACAGGTGAGCCTAATGGCAATACCCATCATGTAGCTGAAAGTTCCTTCCATTTGAATAATTTGAATCACCTATCTAAGAAAACGAACTTTGAGTGGAGATTCAAGAGTCTGTCTTGATTTATTTTTCTTTGAAAGTTGGTTGCTCTGTCTTTCTAGGATGTTGTTTTAATCGAATTTTCAGAACTGATTTTGGTTTTATGTTTTGGTATGACTGTAATTTTGTTACTGTGTTACAGATATGGTCTAACTTTGGTTTTTTTTTTTTTGTTTTTTTCCTTCCATTGGTGGATATATTATATGAAATATTGAAAAGTCTCCACTTACTACTTACCAGTTTATTTTTGCCATTTATACAACAAAATTGGTTGCTTAACACAAAAAAATAAATATGTAACCTAAGTGGGGATAATAAAATGGTTAAATAAGCTGCTTTCCTTGTATATGGAAAAATAGTTAAAATTTTTATATATATAAAAGTATGAATTTTAAAAGTATTAAAATGGTTGTTTTAAATATTTTTATTAATTTATTATTAAAATATTATCTTTTTATATTATTATCGATTTAATTATTTATTTTAATAATAAAAAATAAGTAAAGTTAAACATTAAAAAATATGTTAAGTTATTCGTTTTTGAAACATTAATAAAAATAAAAATACTAAATATTAAATAAGAAAATACCAGGTTTTTGTTTTTCTAAAAAAAACTTTATGTTTGGAACAGGGCTTATACGGGCTTATGCCGCATTGGAATCGGAGATCCGTATCATTTGATTGAGCCGAAAACCAAAACAAATATCCATGAAAACTTCATCAAATTATAGTCTTTTGGCACAACGTATAACAAATAACGTAATATTCTCCCACGTTGTTTGACCGATTGACTCTTACATCTCTCAAGCGTTTCATCATTTCTGTTTTTTATTCATGAACATTGATATTCAAAACTACTCTCTCTCTCTCTCCTCTCTCTTAATCTGTATATTTTATACAACTCGTGCTAGGGTATGGAAAAGACCAGTCTATTTAACACAATGGCTATGTGAACTCAATTCTTTAACTAGTTTATTAATTTCAATGGTAGCAGGTGAAGGTGATGGGTCCTTTCTCTTTCTACCCAATGGATATAAAACATATGAAATGGAGAATTGCCACCTCCCTGTCCACACACAAGTAGTCCACATAACATTGTTTTAAAAACAAATAAACAATGGTTTTGTCAAATTTGGTAAATATTATATAGTCCTTGTCATGGAAAAAGAAAATGGCTAGTGCTTTCTTTAGTCAATGATTGTAATAGCCTAAAAATTTCAAACCTACGTTGTGTTTTTTGACCATTTTATAAATGGGAAAAAGAAAAGGAATAAATGGGGTAGAGTGCCTTCATTATCCAAATTAAAAATAATCAGCAATGTAAACTATTTGAATGTCATTACATATTGTTCATTTGTATGAAAAGAACTTATCGTACCAATTCAGCCGATGTTGCAATTGGTGTTTTTATTTTTTAGATTAGTTATTTTGTCACAAGCGGCACTGATTTTACACGTTAATTATATTTTTGATATTTGTTAAACAATTTATGTTGACAATCTTTAATATCAAAATATCTTCTGTAACTTGCTGTTAAATTTTTTTATTAAATAAGTTGCATGTAATTAATATATGTAATAATTAATTTATGATTCGCGCGATGTAAAAATTTAATTTAATTTATTTAAATATAAAAAAATATACATATTTTAGTGTTTTTTCAAAATTATATTTAAATTTTTAAAATTTATAACATATATAAAATTTATATATCTAATTGACACGTTACATGAAAATTAAACTTTTTGAATAAAGTGACAAAATTTTAAATATATAATAAAAATATTATTTAAAAAAAAGAAAATGATAAAATAAATGAAAGTTTTTATTGATTAAAATTAATTTATTTTCAATTTCCACTATCTCTATTTGTAGTAGTATTTATATACTTACAAGTTTATATCAAATAAAGATAATTTATTTGTATTTAAAGGAAAATATGATTTTTTAATCTTCCTATAACTCTGTCTCTTTTATACAAAAAAAAAAAAAAAAAAGCTATGAATTGATATATTCAAATAACGTAAGTCAAAAATTTTCTCCCAATATGTATATATTCCGTTTGAAACTTATATCTTTGCTTATATATAGTTATGATCATTTTATTATATGTGATTAAAGGTCATGCTTTTATTTAAAAATGAAAAAACTATTGATTTTTGCCAAATCAATATTGTTTGAAAATGTAAATTGACTGTTTTATTGATGAGACATTTTACATACTTAAGATCAAATGAATCGTTGCACGTTATTCAAATTGTAAAGAATTGATTAGAAACTAACTAAATTAATTTTGGATTGATGTTGCATATGGATTGGGTGGTTAAGAAGTTTTTTTTTTTTAAAAAAAGATATTGAAAAAAATGTTTTTATAAGAACAAAATTGTAATAGTAATATAATATAGTTTGGAAATGAAATTAAGTTGTAAATTGAAAATATGATAAATGTTGTAAAAACTATTTCTAAACTTAAAAACATTTGGATGGAAAATAGGACATAAATTGATAATTTTTTAAATTTAAAAAAGACATAATAAGTGATAAAGGAGAAATTAATCAAATATTTTGTGAAATGCCAAACAAATTCGAAATATGAATGTGATAGTTTTACTAAAAATGACCATATATTGTTAAATGATGAATTAAATCATTAAAAAAATATTGACATACTTTCGTGGTCTTATCAATTACTAAACAAAATATATTAAAAAAATTGTTAGGAGATATGTATAAAAAAATAAATTGAAAAAAATGGTTATAAAGAAAAAAAATGAAAAGTAATATATCTTTAAACGAAAAATTGCAAACTGTAAAAAAAGAATAATGTAGTACATATTATTTATAAATTTAAAAGTGTAGGATAATTCTTGAATGATAATTATAATTCATAGATAGTTTTTAATTATTTAAAATTAAATGTACATATTTTAAAATTTTATTTGAATTTTTAATACCATACATATATTAAAATTAAGTTGAGATATAAAGTTTATTTGATTTAAATATAATAAAGTAGTCAATGATATCTTGGCTTAGTAGTGAGAAGAATACTCTAAAACTTTAAAGTTTTAGTTTAAATCCCATTGTAGCTTAGTTGTTTAGTTAACTTATAGTTTATTAATTCATTATGAAGTAATAGTTGATTATTCAATCGTAATACTTAATTATGAATTTATTTTTTTTTTTAAAAGATAAAGCATATAACAGATAACAGACTTGGATAAAGTTAATGCATGTAATTAAAGATAATAAAGGTTCGAATTGGATTAAATTTAGTTTGTTTTTTTCGAATAATGCATAAAATTATAAAATTTGATCATAATTTGATTCGAATCCAAACCAAACTTCCATACAATTTGATCTAATCCTAATTGAATTTTATCGGTTTGGTTTTTCTATTTTTAAAGTTTAAATTTTAAATTTTAAAATTTTTTATATATTATTTTAATATGGTTTTAAATATATTTAAATAGATTGAGGTATAAAATAATAATTTTTATTTTATAAAAATTTAACATATATGTAAAAGTTAATAAAAATATATAATTTGGTTCAGTTCATTTTTTTTTTTCATTTTTTTACTTCTCAATCCGAAATCTGATCCAAATCTAATATATAGATTTAAAATTGGAATTTAATTCGAACATAATAAGAAAAAAAAACTTGATCCGAACTGAACCGAATACTATAATTTTTAATCGATTTTTAGTTTTTTTCAATTTTTTTCTCATCCCTATATGTAGTTTGAAACAATGAATAACTGATTAGGTAACATTACTAGAAATATTGGCATCACTAAAAGAACAATTCGTGGTAATTACAGGCGGAATACCAACAAAAAAAACTTCGTTGGTATTTAGTGTGTGAAGTTGCCGCGGGAATATTATGATTTGGTACATTTTTTACTGATGAAAAAATATGTCAATAATTTGTTACTAAAAGTTTTGCTGATAGTTTACTAACGAATTTTTTTCATCAATAAAAAATTTTTGGTTTAAAAAAATAAAATTTTTTTGGAATTAAATTAGGAGGAAAAATTTTTATTTAGCAACAGAATCCATTAGTAATCTGTCAAAAAAAATATTGACGGATTTTGTCGATAATTTGTCGCTAAAAATTGAAAAAATTTAGAATTACCAATGAAAAATTCATCGATAAAGGTAAGTTAAATTTGAAAATCTTCTTCCCCTTTTCCTTTCCTCCCCAATTGAAACCCTAACTTTAGTTTCTCTTTCCTCCCATATCTTCTCTCTTCTCCCATATTCGCTCCATATTGCCAGCTCGTGCTTATGCCACCCTTTCTTTGCCACCGCCAGCCCTTAAACCTATGAGCCCATGACCTTGATCCTTTCTTATCCCCTTTTTTATTTCCTTTCCTCTTTCTTCTCTTTTCTTCGCTCCTCGCTACCAACTCGTGCCACTTTTTCCTCACCTTCGTTGACCCTTGAACCCTTGAGCTCGTGATTGCACCCATGATTGCTCGCGCCTGCCCTTGATCGTCAGCCCTTCAACTGGTTTGGAACTCATCTTTTCTACCAAGGTATAGTTTCATTACTTAGCTTGTTGATTTTGATATAGACAAGGTATAGTTGGGACATTCAACTAAAAAGTAAAATTACTTTCTACTTTTACAATATTGAGAAAAAGATTTTAGATTTTTCTTTTTTTGTGATTTTTAAGTTGAAGTTTAAAAATTATTGGCAAGAGAGGCTTAGCTAAATTATAAACCATTGTAGGAAAAACTTTCACAGCTATTTTTTGAGAGATACATGAATAGCATGCATTTATCACATATGATTTGCAAAAAATTACTAAAAAATTTATTGTTCTTGCTCATTTATTCATAGTATTTTGCAAGAGTTCTTACCAAACAACTAAAGCAATAGAGCTAAGCCTAAATATGGTTTTAATTGAGACTTGTTATTATATAATCTAAAGTTCATATTAAGAAGAAATATA